CAGAATTGGGAGACAGGATGGGACGCCTGGGTGGCTCAGTCAGTTAAGCATCTGCCTTTGGCTCAGGTCATGATCTCAGGGTCCTGGGATCGAGCCCCACATCTGGCTCCCTACTCAGCAGAGAGCCTGCTTCTCCCTCTCCCTCTACCGCTCCCCCTGCTTGTGCTCACTCACTCTCTGTCAAGTAAATAAATAAAATCTTTAAAAAAAAAAAAAAGAAAGAAAGAAAGAAAGAATTGGGAGACAGGAGACGGTTGCGGTCCAAAGCATGGTGACACACCCTTGGCCTGGGTGGTGGCAGCAGGAAGACCGAGCCGACACTGTGACACTTGGGCCATCCTCATATTGCTAGAGTAGAATCTCCAGTGAAGTGCCAGGTGCTGACGGATGGCCTCACCTGATCCCAGGATGGGTGAAGGCACATAACTCAAGAGCAAAGCCAGATGACAGAGGAAAGCCTGAAGGGAGGAGGGAATCTTCTAGCTCCTCAGGAACCAGTCTTGGTTGTTATTAAAATTATCGGTGTGTGTTTTTTTCTTTTTAGCACTTTAGGAGTTGTGTGTGTGTGTGTGTGTGTGTGCATATGATGCAGGGGGAGTCGGGGAGCAGAAAGCAGAAGGTGGCATTTAATATGTTAAGTCTGTACCTGTACAGCTTAAGGGCTGGAAGTGTTGGCGTTTCAGAAGCACACGCGGGGCGAGGCCTGGCTGTCAGCACCCCAGCACCTCGGGTGAATCACTGGACCTCATCTCTCAACACCTTCTCTTGTCTGTCTAACAGGATGGTTATGGGACGATGACAGCGTGCTTGCTGCGGGCTGGGTGTGCTCAGACTCCCCGTGAACTAGCCCTCTCTGTCCTCTCACCGATGCTAATGGAGGAATCACTTCCCCACCTTGTACAGAAAAGAAAACAGAAGCCCAGAGAGGTGGGGTTAATTACCCAGTGTCACACAGCTTGGAGATCCATGACCCAGCTCTTCATGCTCTTGCCTTTTTCACTATGTGTTCCTTCTGGCCAGGCTCGAAGGGGTTGTGAGAACTCACAAGGCAATGTTGTGACAAGCTGTGAAACCCTCAAGTGAACCTAAACATGGTGTCCCAGCAGCTTGTTCATCATCGCCAGACCCTGGGGGCCACCTAGGTGTCCTTCCATAGGTGATGGATAAACTGTGGTCCATCCAGACAATGGACTGTTATTCAGCACTAAAAAGAAAAGAGCTACCAAGCCCTGAAAGGATATGGAGGAGGCATATCACTAAGTGAAATAAGGCGATCTGAAAGGCTCCATCCTGTGCAACTCCAACTCTATGACATCCTGGAAAAGACAGAAATATGGAGATAGTAAAATATCAGTGGTTGCCAGGGACTCGAGGGAGGGGGCGTGAATAGGCGAAGCAGAGGATGTTTAGGGCAGTGAGACCATTCTGTCCAAACCCATAGAATGTCCACCACCAAGAGCGACCCCTACTGTAAACTCTGGACTTGGGGTGTCCCCTTTAGTGTCCTTAGTCAGGTCAGGCTGCTATGACAAAGTACCGTATACCGGGCAACTTAAACAAACATTTCTTTCTCACAGTTCTGGAGGCTGGCAAGTGCAAGGTCAAGGGTGGCAGCAGATTTTGTGTGTGGTGAGAGCCCGCGTCCTGGTTCACGGATGCCTGTCTCCTTTTTATGTCCTCCCATGGTGGAAGGGGCAGGGTGAGGGAGCTCTCTGGAGTCCCCTTTATAAGGGCAAGAATCGCACTAAGGAGGCTCTGCCCTCATGACCTGTCACCTCCCAAAGACTCCACCTACTAAAGCCACCACACTGGGCATTAGGCTTCAACATATGAAGGGGGTGGGGGACACCAACATTCAGTCCATGGTGGTAATGTGTCAGAGGTGATGTGACAAAGTACTGCTGTGGTGTGGGACGTTGATCCTGGGGGAAGCTGCGCCGGGGGCGGGGGGGGGGGGGAGGGCTAGTGGCGGTGTATGGGAACTCTCTGTACCTTTGGCTCAATTGTGCTGTGAACCTAAAATGGCTCTATTGAAACTCTTTTAAAAAACTCTCAAGTGGCCCAAGGGCAAATTTACATACAGGATTGAGTTTGAAGCATTTGGGTCAAAGTTCTAGAACATCTTTTTGCAGGAGAGCCAACTCATTTCTTCTTAAGGGGTCTCTCTTTCATAATTACTTATACTTTCAAGTGCCTGGGCTTTGGGAGCACTTCTAATTTGGCAACAGGGAATGAAGGGGCCCAAGGGAATGTCCCGGAGAGTGCTCTCTGCTTTCTGACGTTTGCCAGTGAGGGAGTTTGTCCCCAGTGGGTGGCTTGTTACTCCCTGGGGGATGCACCAGCCTGTCTGCCTGAGGGACTTGGGTTGGTTAGCGCCCTGGGCGCTGCTCTGAGCACAGCTGGGTAACAGTGAGTGGCTACACACATTTCCACTGCTGCGGCCAGGTCCGTTTGCATAAACTATTCTCCACACATCCACTGTGTTTTCCCAAAAGTGGGCAAGGACTCCAACCTCCCTGAGAGATTTTATTTGATAACCTTCTATTGCCCAAAGCAAAGCTTTGCACTCCTTTTTGCCAGCCTGTAAGGGACATGGCCCCCCTCTTGTGGAATGAAGGCCTGTTAATGTCTTTACGTATTAGCGCCACGAATACCACCCAGGGATGTAGAGCTGGGACCGGAGCCGCGAGATTTATAATTAAGCACAGGCGCTGCCCTTTTCCAGTCGGGCAGCTCTGGGCAAGGCTCACTAACATCCCGAGCCTCTGTTTCCTCCCCTGTAGAATGCCAGTCACATCTGCTGCTCACGGTTGTTGTGAGGACTATATTTAGGTATGATTTCTAAGGCCCTTAGCCTGGTGCCTGGCATGGCTGTACAGTATTTCTTACTGCACTGATAGTGTTCTATCTGATAAAGACAAAGCGTATAGGATTAGTTCTGAAGGGAGCTTCAGTAAGTCGCTGCCACACCCAGAACCTCGTTTCCCCTATCTTTGTCTTGAAGCTGGTACTAAAATGCTTTGTCTGTTTCACAAGTTTGTTGTGGGGACCTTATCAAGCATTGGATATATAATTTTGAAAAGTAGCTGCCACCTCTTGCATGCTTACCACGCACGAGGCACACTGCTAAGGGTGTGCAGTTACTCATTAGGAGGTGGTTACTGGTGACTTGCGTTTGCCACGGCCTCATCTGGGAGGAGGGGTCATCTTCCTAAAGTGTGAATGCACCTCCTTCTCTCTCCCGCTGGAGTGGAGCCCAGATTGGACTCCAGCTGGGCTGGTCTGCTCAGCCCCATCTCCCGAGCCACCTCCTGGCGCTTAGACTGACACACCCTGCGCGTTGAAGGAATGATAGAAGCCAACAAACGCAGGCTGCCACGTTCTTCCAGTCCCTAGGAGATCCAGAGGCCACAGTAAAATCAAGGGGTGTTTCTCAACTCATCCAGCACCCAGGCTGGTCACCATCCCACCTGCAGTGAACCCCCCACTCTAGCAACCGGACATTTCACTTTTTTTTTTAAGATTTTATTTACTTATTTGAGAGAGGGCAGGAGGGAGAGGGAGACTCTGAAGCAGACTCCATGCTGAGCGCAGAGCCCGACGTGGGGCTCCCTCCGACGACCATCCGCTCAGGACCTGAGCTGAAACCAAGAGTCCGAGGCTGAACGGACTAAGCCACCCAGGAGCCCCTACAGCCTGACATTTTAAGTGTCCACAGCCGAGGCAGACGCACACCCAGGTGTGAGCACTTGGGTGTCTTCCTCAGAGAAGAGGAATCACATCCTGGAGGAGCAATCGAGGCTGGCTTCCAGGAGGAGGGGGCCTCTGGGGAAGCAGAAAAGGAGATGGGGTGTGTTGGAGTTGGCGGTGGGCTGAGAAAGGCCAGCGGCTTCTTCACCTCGGTAGCCCCAGCGCCGCACAAACGCCCCTGGGCACGGGCGCTCAACACCGAGCTGCTCTACGAACCAATGACAGCCCAGGAAACACGCCGGCCTCCCCCGCACGTCCCTCCACGCGGCCCGCGGAGACGCACGCGCATGCCCGCCCCGGGCTCTTCCCTCCAGGCCTCCACGGCGACGCAACCGCCCCCCCCCCCCGCTGTCAGCGCGCAGGCGCGGCGAGAGCGCGCGAGCGGGTGACGTCACTCCGCGCCGGATTCGGCTTCTGGAGGCGTCGCTCGCTGATTGCGTCGTCATGGCGCTGAAGACGGGTGAGGAGCCGCGGGAGAGGCGGGTGGGGACCTACCTGAGGGGCAGGCGGGGGGCGGGCGGGTGAGGGGCGGCCGGGGACCCACCTGAGGGGCAGGCGGGGGTCGGCCGGTGAGGGGCCGCCAGGGACCCGCCCGAGGGGCAAGAGGGGGGCGGGCGGGTGAGGGGCCGGCGGGCAGCGGGGGCCCACCTGAGGGCTAGGCGGGTGCGGGGGCCCCCGGGGACCCACCCGGGGCAGGCGGGGGTCGGCCGGTGAGGGGCCGCCGGGCACCATTCCGACGGGCGGGACCACCGGACAGGCGGGAGGGGACTGAGCGGGGCTCGGGGGTCCCGCCGGCGCCGGTCTCGGACCCTGATGTGCGACCCCGTCGGTGGAGGGGAGACAGTGGGGAGAAGAGAGAGGACTAGAGCCGTGCCCTGGAGGTGTCCGTGGCCGTGCCGATCGATCGTAGCCACCACGCGTGGGGTCCGCGCTAGCATACCCGCGGTGCGGCGAGGGGACCCAGGCTCACAGCTGGCGGCAGGGCGGGACTGGAAAGCCGCTGAGCTTCGCCGCCGGGCCGCTTGACCGCTGTCCTCCGAAATGCTTTCCAAGGCCTCGCTGTGCCCGGCCCGGCCCAGGCGCTGGGATCACTTGCTGCATTGCGCCCGGGCCCCAGGGGGTCGCCCTCTGTGGAGAAGAGCGTTGGTGATCGTCGCGGGGTTGCTTGGCAAAGAGCCCCCAGGACCGAAGCCCACGGTGAGCCGGAGCCTGTCAAAGGCAGGCTCCGCAACCGGGAGCAAGTGCGCTTCTGCCCTTACCACGGCTGCAGCCTGTAACCGGCTCGGCGCAGATTCTGCTCGCTCAGATGCCTGCCGAACGCCGGCGCTGAGCGCAGAGCTAGGGGTGGAAGTGTGGGTGAGACCCCGGGTGACCTGACAGAGCCACAGCCTGTTGGGGGAGGAAACTAGGCAATTACACCACGGGGTTCAGGCATTTCACGCAAAGGTGTGTTGCCTTTTATTCCTAGTCATTCCCCGTGTTTTTGTCACTTTCCCAAGGGCAAGGAGCTGCCCTTTCACTCTCGCTGCTCCTCCCAATCACCACTATCGCTTTCTAAATGGGAGTCCCTCAGATGTTTGTGATTAATTGATTCTCCAGAGCAAGGGTCACAATTCCTTAGGTTTCTTGTGTCCCGCACGGTATCCTGCGAGGTGTTGGGAATGTTGTAGCACCCGTGGGTTATTAGTGAAAGTGACAAGTATATTAACCTTATAGTTGTATCAACATGATTGTGTTTGGAAAAAAACAGGGTGCTCTGGGTTCCTAAAGGAGGGCAGCTGCCTGGAACTGGGCTCTCTGAGTACCTCCAGGGGGATGTGGTGCGTCAGGCAGACCTGAAGGGAGAGGAGGTACCAAGGTGTGAAAGGCACAAAGGGATGGGCAGGTGTGTGGAAGCAGGGACCAGTAATGTTTGAGCCACATTTTGAATCCACCGCGAGCAGTGATGGAGGTGAGGCTGAAGTGGGCAGCAGGGCATTGTAGGCTAGAGCTCCTTGTGACCCTGTGACAGAGGGATCCCCAGGCAGTGGAGCAGAAGGCGGGGGTGCTTCCTGGAGGTGGTGCTGGAGCCGAGCCCTGAAGAGTGATGAGGGTTTATCGAAGGGACAGAGAGCTGAGCAGATTGGCAGCAGACACCTTCAGTGCAGAGCTCCCAGGAGGAAAGAACAAGCCAAGTGCTGGAAACTGCCTGTGTCGGCCTACTCAGGCTGTGTCTTACAGATGTGTGTTCCCTAAGCACACCCAAATCTGCAGTTTTGATATCTGGAATGGCTTTAAAGCACAGCTAGGGGCAGGAGGCCCGAGAAGTGTTTGTAGTGGACTCCAAGAGGCTCTGGGACTGGGCTGCATGCTGTGCTGAGGAGATCTAGGCCTAGCCAGAGGGCGTAGGCAGTGGAAGCCTTTGGCTCTGGGCCCTTATGCCTTAGGCTACACGTGGAGAGTTAACAAATTGAGGTAAAATGGGCTGGCGGCAAAGTGTACCTCGGTAACAAGATTGGAAACCACCTGTTGCCCTTCAGAAGGGGACTGCCTGAGTAAATTTTGGCCTGTCCCTACAATGGAATACCGTGCAACTTCACAAAAGAACAGAGGTGCTCTCGTATACCACGTGGGCTGATCTGCAAGATATTTGGCAAGAACACCAGTGTGCAGGGCATTGTGTGCTGCGTAGTGTGCCACATTAGGGAAAGGACATGACAGGAAGTGTCTTCTGTGTGGGCCAGAGGTAACCTGGGGGAAAATTCATGAGGAAAAAAGGGTGCGCTGATTGCCCTGGGGGAAGAGAGCTGGTCCCCAGCAGGCACCGAGGAGAGAGGCTTGTCAATATAGTCCCCTCGGCATGTTTTCAAAGTCCATTTATGAAAAATAAAATTTTAGAATATAATTGATTCACATGATTCAAAGCCACACAATTCAGAAATGTATGGTGAGAAGCCAGCTGCCAGCCCAATTGCACCACCCATCCAGGTGATTCCCAGCAGTCTCTGGCCCTGGGCTGCTCCCGTGGGTCACTTTTCAATATCCTGCACTCATTGAAGGGAGACTGAGGACCTGTGGGGTTGTATCTGCCCCTCCTTCCTACTCAGGTGATGAGAGGTGCCCCAGCCACACAGAGTACATGTAGAACCTCACATCTAGCTGTGGTGCACATTGGGTTCTCTGAAGAGGTTGTCTTTCACTGCCAGCTTCGGAGATGCACATTCCCTAAGCCCTGTGCGTGTGTCCCTACGGGGACTTTCAGATGGTGCAGGGTAGTCAGCACTCCTCTTCACCAACGGTTAGGGCAGGTTGGTGTTGAGAATTTACCAGTCACCGAGATGACCTCATGATGAGTTCCTTGCCTCATGATTCTCAGTGCTGGCTGCATGACAAATTGTTACGAAAACAGATCAAGTGGATAAAGTGATTTGAAACAGACTTCTGTACAAGTACGAGGATATCCTTTAGGACCAACAGAAATGAAAATTCAGTGAATATTTTAAAAATGTGTCTTTGTGAAGGTGCTGGTTTTATGTTTTTCCACCTAACTGGAAACTGCTTTTTATAGTTCTCCACTCCAAGAGGAACACATGATTAATGCAGATTTTATTAAAACTGCTCCAATCAAATTAAAGAATATTTGTTGACAAAAAAATGCGCTTCTGAAGTTTGGTATAGAATAAGAAATTGCTATACTAATAAAGGGGATTGTAATTGGTAATCCAAACTAATAGGTGGTTTACAAAGTGCTTAGGTTTAAGGCAAGCTTTCTGGGTTTACAGTCTGCATGCACTAATCATAACTATGTCAAAACTAATTAGACCAAGGATTGCAGTGCGTTGACTGATCAGAATGTGCGTTTCCCAGCAAGGACCTGAGGAAAGCTTGGGTACCTGGCTCGCTTTGCATTTTGTTCTGCTGCTCCTATAGCTCAGTAGAGCTAGATTAAACACCTGGGTTGTCTTGAATTTACTCTGTTTTTGGACTTTAGCAATTTGTTGTGAGTTTATCACTAACCCTGATTTTTCGCCATAGAGCTGAGAAGCCCTGGATTGGTCTGGCGTGACGGAGTGCTGAGGGTGCAGCTGGAGCAGGCACCCAGCAGCGCCCGGCCTGCACATGTGGCAGGACTCCTTTCTGCCACGTTAACTAGTCCCACTCTTTGTTGCCATAGGTGTTTCCAAACAGGACATTCGTGAACAGATTTGGGACTACATGGAATCACAAAATTTAGCTGATTTTCCCCGGCCTGTTCATCACAGGATTCCCAACTTCAAGGTACTGAAGCATTCCTGGAGCATTCAAAAGGAAAACAGGCTATTCCTGATTGAGAGCGTTAGTAACGCACTTAACTGTCCTGCTTCATGGTGGATCCGAGTTGGGTGAACAGTGAGTAGTAGTGCAAAATCCACACCACTGGCCCGCATGTCCTTTGTGTTTTGAGATGTCCCTCATCTGTGTTCCTTAACCTTCACTACAGCCTCTTGCCTTTCTGTGCAGGGTTGGTGGGTTGGTCATGTTTTGCCACTTGACATGGAGTAAGATATTTGTCCTGGCTGGAAGCATGTTATTGTTGTCCCTTTTCTCAAAATTGGCTCCCTTAAGAACAGCAAGGAGTGATGCCCTCTGAGAGGAGGCCTGGGCCAGCATCTTTGGACAGCGGAAGGCCTCGCCGGTCCCTGATTGATGATTCCAGGCCTCAGTTTCCCCACTGTTCAGAATAGAAGATAATCAAAGATGTCTGTTTATGACACTGTTCATAGGAAACAAGTTTGCTTGAACGAGTGAACATACACAGCTCATAATTTCGGCATGCGTGTTTTCCACAAGGAAAACGAAGTGCTTTTTGAAAATACACTGGTTGCTCTATCCGGCCCAAAGGGGTGTGGCTCATTTACTTGCCATCACCCCCCATTTTGGCTGGACTTTATCTTCCCATTCATGGCTTCTTGGAAACAAGCTCCCACCCTTCTCTGGTCCTCAGCTGAGCTGGTTCTGAGGCCATCCTGGGCCTTTGAAAAACTTGTTTTTGTATGTTTTTGTTGCTACTTTGTTTTGCTTTAGTGCTTGTTATCCCAGGGAGAGAAATATACATGAAGTACAGGAAAAAGAGAAAGATGCACAGGATCAGTAAAAAATGTTTAGAAAGGAACCAATTTGGAGAGGGGTGGGAATTCCAGGTTAGTGGTAATATACTCCTGTTTTGGGCAGTTATTACACAGCTATGTTCGTTTTGTGAAAATTCATCAAACTATACACTTTCTACACCTTTTTGGAATGTATGTTTTATTTTGGTTAAAATTAAATTGGGGCTCGCTTTCTCAGCCCCTTTCTACCCTGACTACTCTCCCAGACTTCTTTGGGTGACTCCTAGATCTTGTCTCAGACTTAGTGCACCCCACCTGTCTGAATGAGATGCTAGACCAATCTGCTCCTGCGTGCAATAGGCCCAGGATCATGCTGTCCGGTCAGTAATGTGCAATTGCATTTGAAAACAGGGTGCTTCCCGTGCTGCTGAGCATTTCCCACGTTTGCAGGCGTTCAAAATGGCCAGAACCATTAAAGTCAATCCTGATGCTCCCCAGACAAATGCTCGCTTCTTCGTCCTCGACGTAAGTGCAACTCTGTCTGTTTGCCTAACTAGGGCTCTTATCTGGCTTGCCAAAACATCAGAGACCTAGAAGTTTTTGCCAGAACACAGGAAGTTAAAGTGGACCCCGATAAACCGCTGGAAGGTGTTCGCCTGCTGGCGCTGCAGGTAATCCCATTTTCCTGAGCCAGAGCCCTGGCCACTGATAAAATGCATTCTCCAGGTGGCTGGCAAATGTGTGCAACTCATATATTTAGAAGGATGGTGCTTCTGACTCCCTCCCACACAGAATATACCCTCGGAGTTTTTTTTTTTTTCCAGGAAGAGTCCAGAAGTCTTTAATTTGTCAGAAGTCATGAATGTTCCTAAATTCAAAGATAAAGGACATTCACAACGATGACCTTGAGGCACTCTTTAATCTGATGTGCTTCATCAGAAGGGAAAGGTTATGGTTATTTCCTTCTGCTACTTTTTTTTTAATTTATTTGAGACAGCACATGAGAGGGGGGAGGGTCAGAGGGAGAAGCAGGCTCCCCGCCGAGCAGGGAGCCCGATGCGGGACTCGATCCCGGGACTCCAGGATCATGACCTGAGCCGAAGGCAGTTGCCCAACCAACTGAGCCACCCAGGCGCCCTTCTGCTACTTTTATATTATAATTCTTTGATACTTGATAACCCATGAGTAAGAAATCTGATGGAGTCCCCAAAATTTATAAATCAGAACAGTGTTTCTTAACTTAACATACTTAGGCCCCTGTTCAAGGAAAAAAAAAAAAAAAACTCCCCGAGGGTTGCTTTAAATTCACTAACTAAATTTAATAAGTATAAACAGAAAACTTGGTATAAATTTAAATGTTCATAGCTCTTATGCAGCTGTAAAACCACAATAAACCTGTAAGTTAAATACAAACAAAACTGTACAAGCAGGAACATCCATATATCAGCACTGATTTATTAACAAAGCTGCTGCTGCTTTGTTGAGACAACTTACTCTTGATGATATGAATCCAGATCTTCAGAGTTCCTCCTTAGGCGACCGAACACGCCTTGTGTGGCCGCTCAGCTCTCCCTCAGCTCCTGGGAGGCCTTGGTCACGCAGTGCACCTTGCAGCCTGTGTGGAGAAGGGGATGCCAGAAAATGATTTTACAGGGAACGAGGAGGGTGTAGGGATCCTCCTCTGGTTCTTTCAAGGATTGCATGTAGGGGATTTTGTTTGCTGATTGTTTGCTGATTGCTGTTCAGCCCCAATAGAAGCCTCCCAATCAGGCCCTTCTGGAAGCATTCTTTCTTGCCAGCCATATTTTCCCAATCAGTAATTCACTTTAATGAACTAGAGGAAATAATAGCAGCAGAGAAGAGCCCGAAGTGAGTGGTTGCCTTGTGTGAGGACAAAGCTCTGTCAAAACACTGCACTATATTACCTCATTTAATTCAGCCAACAGCCCTGTAGGAGTGATCTCTGTTGCCATATGACATGGAGTAAGCTAGACACGGAGAGGTTAAATGACTTGCCCAAGTCCCCCATTTGGTAATGGTGGAGCTGGGATTCCGACCCACACTGTGACTCCAGAGCCAGTTCTCTGCGTGTATGAGGTTCTTACCTGTCAGCCCATCAGAGCACAAATCAAAGCCTTGAGTGTGTTGGAGATTAGTCAAGACATCCTGTAGGAGGAGTGCAGCCAGGTAGCAGGATGGAATAGGGTCCTCACTGTCTGTTTATTCAGGGGAAAGAAAGCCAAGCTTTGAGAATCTGTTGTATTCCAGGCTCTCTGCTGGGCACAGGGATAATAGTGGTGAAAAAGACATAAAGACATGTGTGGTCCTTGCGCTGTAGGGCTACAGAATCCTCTGTGTTTCTGGAAATGGAAACTTTAGTGGTTTAAGAATCACTTGGGAAGCAGGTAAACCTGCATGCTCCACAGCGCACCTAAGTGTAGACAGGGATCCCAATGCACATGGCCACAGTCCATGCCTGGGGACACAGTGGCCTGTGCTTGGGGATACACAGTTTCCCAGGCTCAACCCCAGACCTTCAGTAGGTTTCTAGAGTCTGGTTTTTTTTTTTTTTTTTAAAGATTTTATTGGGGTTTTTTGTTTTGTTTGTTTTTTGCTTTTTTTTTTGGAGAGCACACACAAGTTGGGGGGGGGGTGCAGGAGGAAGAGGGGGAAGCAGATTCCCCGCTGAACAGGAATCCTGATGCAGGGCTTGATCCTGGCATCATGACCTGATCCTAAGGCAGATGCTTAATCAACTGAGCCACCCAGGCGCCCCTAGAGTCTTTTTAATAAACACCCCTGATGGTTCCTTTAAGAACCACTGGCCAGGCCAGCATTTGCCAACCCTGGCTGCTTGTTAGCACCACCCAGGGAACTTTGAAAATTATCTCTTGCTGATGTCAGGTTCTGAATCAGATGCTCTGAGTGGGTCTGCATACCCACTGCTCAGGTGATCTAAAGTACAAGCAGCTTCCAGAAAAGGGAGCAACCATCATAATGGGCAGTACACCAGAATCTTCAGACTGTGAATGAACCCAAACCTTTCACACTCCAAAGGAGAAGAGCACATGGTCATGACTTGTGTTGAAATATTTCTCTCATGGCTTTAAGTAAGCCAACCTGTGATTTTACAGGTCTTATATTGGTCTCAGGCTGTCATCTCCTGCACAAAAACTAAAATATACTCTTTTTACACCAAAAATTTTAAAATTTTACAGTTGCCTCATGGCCTGCCCCAGCATAGTCTGCAGAGATGCCTGTAACGGTGGTTCTGGAACTTCCCTGGGCATCAGAATCACCTGGCAGGCTCATGAAAGCAGATTGCTGTGCCTGCCCCCAAGCTTCTGGTCATTTCTCACAGGTGTCCAGGGGCTGCACCTGCTGGCCAGGGGCGTGCACTTTGCGAATCCATGCTCTGGGACTCACAACAAGGTGTTTGGGAACTAAATAGAGGAAAAGGGGCCTGTGGACTCAGGTCAATGCAAAATATCGATTATAATGAGTGTTAATCTCTGAGACTGGAACTTACTGAACAGCAAACTGGTTATGAAGGCTTGAGATCATGCAATGCAGGTTTCAAACAAAAGCATTGTGGGCACCTGGGTGGCTCAGTCGGTTTAGCTTCTGCCTTCAGCTCAAGTCATGATCCCGGGGTCCTGGGATCAAGTCCCACATTGGGCTTCTTGCCCAGCAGGGAGTCTCCTCCTCCCTCTCCCTCAGCCCCTCCCCCCGTTCCTGCTCTCCCTCAAGTAAATAAATAAAATCTTTTTAAAAAAAAGGAGGCATTGTAACTGTAGTATGTGATGCTGGGAGGGGAGGACACAGGAAAGTTCTGGTTGGAATTCTAATGAGAACGGACGTTCGTTTGGATTTACATTGTCACTTTGTATCTGTAGTGATTTTGAGTGGCAAGTAAAGTAGAATTCAGGAGTTTGACAACTCACTGCCTCTTCATCCTAAGTGGGGTGGAATAGTGGCCCTGAGTAAGATTGACCACCATACGTTATTTAATTGGGTTTGCAAAGAAGTCATTTCCTTGGCACACACCAAAAGATGCCGATAATAGTCACTTGCTTCTGCCCCTGAAATGCTAATATACACAAGTTTTCTATGTTTAATTTTGTAATTTATTGATTGTCTTTTTTTAAAAGAGCAAAAAAACATTGTTGGTCCCAACACCACGACTGAGAACGGGGTTATTTAATAAGATCACACCACCTCCCGGGGCAACTAAAGACATCTTGAGGAAATGTGCTACCTCTCAGGTAAGTGCAGGAGGCCGCATCACCCAACAGGAGAGCGCTGTTCTCAGCTGAGACTTCTGGTGAGTTAGAATGTGTAAAATACACCACAAAATTGAAATTCATTTTTCACAAAGCCAAATGAGTGGAGATGGCAAAGTATTCAGCAGTCCTATCAGCAAAGGAGCCAAGTAGAAAAACCATGAATGCATGTGTTCCATTTGAGTCACCCAGTTTCTCTTTTGCACCAACTTGGCAGATTGTAATTTCCCTATTCAAAATGAAGAAAAAATGAGTTATCGGATGGTCTGGCACCTTCTGAGGTTAACGTGTGCCGTAGTCTGGTGGCCCCATAGCATTTTTTAAGTGCCACCAGAGCAACTGGGAACTCAGGAATTTCCAAAATACTTGGATTGGAAATTGCCTCACCAGTTCTGAATGATGGTTTTAGTAATTCGGTGATGTGGTTTTCTTGAGTGTTTACAATGTAGTAAAACTGAAGTTTATAAATACATCATGGTGCCCTGTGGTGGCATTTGTCCTGTATTTTGCAGATAAAGAAATAGAATTTGGTGATTTTTTTCAGAGTCCTAGAATAGATCGTAGGTCATTTGATGCCTCATCTATTGGGAATAAAAAATAGGGCATCAAGATAGGGTATTAATCTTTTTAAAAAAGATTTTCCACTTAAGTCTGATATTTAAAAATTGAATTTTTCTTGTTACTTATTGATAACCTTCTTCCAAAAATAGAATTTGATATAGCTTTCAAAAGTACGTGTAATAAAGTAAAACAATAAAATATATGTAGAAAAAACTGCAAAGGAAAATGAGAAAAATAAGAGACAGTCATGGTTCTGGTCGGTGTTCAAAAACACAAACTGTGTGACCGTCTGCAGTTGGCAGACGCGGGCCGCAGACAGGAGCTCACATTTCCCAGAGCCGGCAGGGAGTGTGATCAGTGGTTCCGGAGTCGTGGGTTTGGGACGGTACCAGCGGTTCCCTTTCTGGGGTTGAGGTCCAGGTCAAATGTATCTGAGGGTCCATCACAGGGGCCTGTGGTGGTTGTAGGGGTCTGTGTCCCCCTTCACGGCATCCCCGCCCCTCTGAAAGGTGACTGCCACGTGGTGTGTTGGCAAAAGTTCCCCGTGACGCCTCAGTACCAGCTGGTCCCTTACACGTGCCCCTGAAAGTGTGGCTGGGCCCGGGGTAGAGCCGGACCAGCTCTCGTGGCTGAACTTCACTAGGGATTGAGCCGCAGAGTTCGGGCTCTGTCAGCACATGAGACACTGGAACCTGAAAAGGACGTTTCTGTTTTCTCGATGGCACAGGGGAGAGAGGCTTTTAGGGCCTCTGTGTGCAGCTGCCAGTCGTGGTGCAGTCGTTATCTACTCTGCCAGAGCTTAGCGGCAGAGATACTGCCCCCGTGTGGCTCGACTCTAGGAGACTCAGATGTGGCCTTGCCTTTTGGCAGAGAAGTCTCTGAATTTGTCCCTTAACACCTCTGCCACCGGTACGTCCCAGCCACCTGTGTGATCTCGGTGTCTTTGTATTCTCTAACTCAGGAGTCTTCCAGTAACCACCTCTCTGGGCACACAGAAATGTTTGTCAGCTGAGGTTTTGTTGAATCAAACAGGACTTTGGAGAATCGGGGAGACTCCTGGTTGCTCACACTCTGGCCAACAGAGCAGGTGAAGCTGACCGAGGGAGGGAGGAGGAAGTCTGATGGATCGAGTTTCAACACAGGGGTCTGCTCACCAAGGCTGCCAGGCACCAAGCCCATTAAAACAGGGCTGAGGATGTGGGCCGTGGGTGTGAGATGCCAGCTGCATGGCCATTGTGAGATTAAGCAAAGCAGGCCTTCCCACCATGGGGCACAGTGGGCCTGTGACTGTGGTCTGACCGCTGAGAGCCCCAAAGCAACCCCCTGTACTGATCCCATAAGTGACTTGTCATGTGCTTGTAGACGAGGCATAATACCACATGCCGTGACCCTCCGGTCCCAGGCACTGGTCTGTACAGTGTCCTGATTTGGCCCTTAGATTGACCTGTAGCCCTTGTTATCTGAGACTCGTGACCATATCAGCCTCCGTACTCTGTAAATACAAGCCTCAGTTAGTGTAAACGTGTGTATTTTCAGTGCATTTTGGTTGAACAAGTAATTTTTCAGAAGTGAAGCACACGTGCAGGTAACAGCCCCAGTGTTTTATACGTTATTTGTCCCACACTTTCACTGACCACGTCGTAATGTGCTAAACGCACTACCCCCATGATCTCCTTCCCTTCCAGCACCCGTCCGGCAAGGCAGTGGCACCTCTGTCTTAGAGGTGGGGAAACTGAAGGTCAGCTTCCTCCTCTTGAGGTCACGGGGATAAGAGGGATCTGGACCCGGTTCTGTGTGACTCCTGAGCCTGTGGTTTAACCACTGTGCTCTTCTGCCTCGTGGGAAGACATGATTTGCTCAGTATTGTGAACTTAACATCTTACTCATTTGTGCTGTCAGTTCCAAGTGGCATCTTTCCTGGGGAAGAAATTGTGGGAAATTATCCTAAGATGGTTTCTGAGCCATGGTTTTCCTAAAATGCCATTTCCACAATGCCGCGTGTTCATTGTAGGGCATGGGTTTGCCTCATGCAGGAGGTTGATTCAGACCCTGAGTGCTGCTCGCCTGTGAACTGTGAGGTGCGGCCGCCGCTCGCTGCCCAGGAAGCATTCAGGCCCACGTCTGTGTTCACAGGGCGTGAGGAACTACAGCACTCCGGTGGGCTTGGATTCCAGGGTTCTTGTGGACTTAGTTGTGGTGGGGTCCGTTGCTGTTTCTGAAAAAGGTAAGATTAAAATCCGAAATTCCTGGATGTGACCTGCAGCTTGACGTTCTGCTGTCTGTTCATCTTTTAAACACTGAAGGTAAGTAATCTCAGTTTTCCGGACACACATCTGTCCTCTGAAACCACTCTATCTCTCATTCATTTTGAAGAATGAACGCAGTCCCTCACACTCAATACCTTCACAGTATTTTCATTTTTCTTAGGAAAAATAAAGTGAGATCGTCTCTCTTCAGGTGGTGAAAGCTATTTCCTCTATTCTTAAACTACCTGGAACTGGAGCTGGATTTATTTGTAGTATGTCAGTAAATAGTTGGTTTTGGAGAATCTCCAGGGAACAGAAAAACGTTAGGCTCTAAACCTTGTTTCTGGTAGGGAGCAGCAGCCTCTGGGCATCACAGGGTGTCCTGAGCCTGCCCGGGGAGGCCTGGTGCTGTGCCGGTCAGGCAGGTGAGGGGGGAGGGTGTCCCACGCTGCTGTCTGCCCTCTGCCCAGCCGCCTGCAGGACTTGGGCCCCTGTGGTTCCCCTGGGACCTCTTCCGCCTCTGCTGCTCTACTCCAGGCCTGGCTCGACTCTCTTCGGAGACGATCTGGTTATACTGCTGCTTATACTGCCACGGCTCAGTGGGTTCCACGAGAGGTCAGCCCGTCACAGACTTGCGCCTGCACAATGTGGTTTGGGCCCCCTGCTGGGAAAGCATTCTCTCTCCTTCCCCTCCAAGAGGAAGAAGACTGTTCTAAGATGCCTATCCTTAAAACTGTCCCTTTGGAAATTAACCAGCCAAAGCCAAGATCTTCCTTCAAGAGAGGTTTCTGGTTTCCAACAAGTAGTTGATGAGAGATGCTCTTCAGTCATTCATTCCAAACCCTGAGTGTCATGTTTTTAAATGTTGGCCTTTCATATCTTCACCTGGAGTATACGGTGTTTGCCAGCTCTTTGCGCTAGTACGTGAGACATGGTAGTGCTTCGTTCTTTGCTTTCTCTGTATTCTCCGTTACAACGCTTTATCTGTGTTATCAGGGATGGGTTCCCGTGAGCACATGTTCCCTGGGTGCCTACTGTGGGCCAGGTGTCAGGCCAGCCCTGGGTGGTCTCTGCCTTGGGCCCACTGACCCGGAAGAGCAGGCACAGCAGCTGTGCTCTGGTATGATGTGCTCGGTGCTACACACAGAAGTCAGAACTGACATTGGTGGGGGTCATAAGAGCCGCCCTTGGGCCCTGAGCAGGGCAGCGTCTCAGAAGTGACCTCAGGGTTGGGTGTTTTGGAGAGAGGTGGAGCAGGAGAGGACTTTGGGACAGAAGCGGCAATGTGTTCACATAGGATGGTCCTTCAGTAGGTTGGGGTTGGCTTTTCAGAGACCAGGAGGCCAAAGGACAGGATTGGGGTTATACTCTTTTGACAGTGGGAAGTTAACAAAGAGGTCTTCTTTTAAAAGATCAGGAGTTTTCTTTCTTAGCTGAGGGTATATGAAGAAGAAAACAGTATTCTATAAATGTCATCATTCAGATAACCCCCAATTAACACAGCAAAAGTCACCATGCGCACGTGTAGAAAACTGGAATAGCACAGAAAACACCACCTGTGCTCTTCCCAGATGCCCACCGTCGGCGGTTTCTTGTGTTGACACACAGAGATGCCTGTGAGTCCACACAGGTCTTGCATTCTCTGTGCGGGTTATGTTTGTCCTGGTTCTGTTTTCCCAGGAGGGGCAGCAGCGCATACAGCACTTTGTGCCCTGCTAGATGATGTCTGGCCAGGGTCTTTGCCCATCCCTGCAGACTGATGGGCACTTAAGATGTCACCAGGGTTTGGTTTTGGCTTTTCCCTTACAGATCACACTAAAGTGAGGTGTAGTCTTGTGGAAGAGTTTCTGTGTGCCTTCGAGGGCCATCCGTGCGATAACTCCAGCAGAGGAATTGTTGAACCAAAGGGTGGACTTGAAATCCTGGTGGCTGTTGCGAAATATCCCACTAGAAAGGTTGCCTACCTCACATCCCCAGCACCATACACCTCACATCTCTCCCTACTCCCTCGTGAATAACTAGAATCATCAAACTTCCATGTTTACCAATCCAGTAGTGAACAGTGGTAGTTCATGTGCCATCTGATTGGCCTTTAATGGTGAGGGAAGGTGGTCATTGCTCACGTTTGCCGCTCACCTGCCTGCCTCTGTCTGCGGACTGTTCTATCCTTTGCCGTTTCTCCTCTGCACTGTCTTTCTCACGTTTATTTGCTCGCATGATTGGAGGTTGGTAATTGTAAAAGGAGCATGACATGAGAATCTCAGAAAGATGCATGGGCAGTGATGCCTTTGGTGAGGTTGCTGATGCTGATGTTAAGCAGAAGTTAGAATTTCTGCGGCACCATGGGCTTCCTGATGGCAGGATACATTGGTTCTTGTGGGAGCCAGAGGCATTGTCATGTTTCCTGTCTTGCTGCATTCTTACCTGCTCTGGAGCTTCTCATGCAGCTTCAGCTAAGACTTCCGTGGTCCCCACCTAGGAGTCCACAGTATGGGACTAGCTCTGCCAGACCCAGCCCTCTTCCAGGGACTGCTGGACTTTTCAGAAGACAAGGTGATGTCATCTTAAATCACGTATTCCTGATTTTAATTTTTATTTCCCCTCCAAGAGAAATTGATTAAAAAGGTTTTGTTTTTAGTAGGAATTTTTTCTTAGTCTTTCTAAAAACTACTCTTTTCGGGCGCCTGGGTGGCTCAGTTGGTTGAGCGACTGCCTTCGGCTCAGGTCATGATCCTGGAGTCCCTGGATCGAGTCCCGCATCAGGCTCCCTGCTCGGCGGGGAGCCTGCTTCTCCCTCTGACCCTCCCCCCCTCTCATGTGCTCGCTCTCATTCTCTCTGTCTCAAATAAATAAATAAAATCTTTAAAAACAAAAAACAAAAAAAACTACTCTTTTCATTGCTTTTAAATGTGAGTTCTGCTCACATAAACACAGATTCCGTTTCTTTTTGTAACACATCTAAGAGACTCAAGCTTCACATCAGCATGTGCTGACCCCTGTATGTATGCGGCGTCGGCATGCCCCGAACCCCACTGTTGAGGGCTGCCTGTGGGCTCACTGTGGAAGTTTCTGAGGAAGTGCCAGGGATATTGAGTCCAAGTTTCTGCTTCTGCTGTGACCCAATGAAACATTTCCTCCTGAGATACTGACGCTCTGCATGTCTCTTAGGCTGGAGAATTGGGAAGGGAGAAGGTTACGCTGATCTGGAATATGCCATGATGGTGTCAATGGGAGCAGTCAGCCAGGGGACGCCCGTGGTCACCATCGTCCATGACTGCCAGGTGCTGCCCATGAACGGGCCAAGCAGAGGCTACTGCCACACCCCCCTGAGTGAGTGGGTTGGGGGGGGAAGGAGACAAACTGGTCTCTGCCTTCATTCCACGTCTGCTGTGAGTGGTGATCAGCCAGAGCTGGATCTGTGTGGCAGTGAGGCCTTATCCCCATGGGTCTGGTGAGCCCTTTGCTTCTACTGCACGGTGCTTTGAGCACAAGAGCTGCATTCCCTGTCAGCCCCCTCACCCACTTCTGTTTGACCAGGTCATCGACATACCTGAAGCGCTGCTTGAGGACCACGACCTAACAGTGGACTACATTCTCACTCCGACGAGAGTCATTGCCACGGGGTGCGAGCGCCCAAAACCAACGGGAATCTTGTGGTCCAAGGTGGGTCCTGTGGCCAGCAATGGCCTATAGCTCAGAGGCGTCTCCTCATGTGTGGTATTCTTTGGCATGGCAGCTATCCCTAGGCCCAGCATGTCTGTGCATTAGAATCACCCATAAGCTTTTAAAAATTCAGCTCCTGCATCACAGTCTCCAGGCACAGGCCCAAGAATCTCCTTTGCAAACCTGTGGGATTCTGATAAGCAGCCAGGTTCAAGATCTTCTGCTGCAAGACACCAGTTCTAGATGGCAGAAGGAACAGTCCACTCAGAGGGCCAATGCCTTGACACCCTGTTTGCCAGCGCGTTTCATCTCTGAGAGCTGTGTCCCACCATCCTGGCCACGACAACGTACTGTGTCATCAGCTTTTCTGTTCTAAGTCCAACTTGTCTTGCTGTGACCTGGGTCTCCAAGCAGTACCCACAGCCTTCATTAGCTGATGCCTTTGTGACCCCTATCTGCAAAACAGTCAGCAGTACACGTTACATTAGTCTGCAGAAGGAGTTCGATCCCAGAGGCCAGCCTATAGGTTATGATCCCGCCCGCTGGCAAGCAGCCAGAGTTAACTGAGGAAACAGGGAGAGTTGTGCTTCGTTTGGATTGAAGCTGTTGTTCCATGTCTTCTGTTCCTTAAACCTGAATCATCAGAGTTGGATAGCAGCCTTCCCTTGGGCATGGAAAACCAGTAACATCCAACTCCAAGGTTGACACCAAGATGGAACACTGCGGCACAGTGGGCCTTTCCCACAAACACCACAGCAAGGCGGTTTGGACCCCCTGGGGCCTGTGCTCCTCCTAGGTTAGCCCCGATAAAAACGGAGAGGAGGAGCACGCGTGACCCAGAAGCGAGCGGATGGGTCTCTCCGGGTGCAGGCCCAGTGCCATGGGGAAGGCATTGGCATCCTTTTTGAATATTCAGATATCCCTTGGTGTCTTTCGTAAGCACTTGGGTTTACCTTGGAAGTCGGGTCCACAGCTTCTCCTTAAGTGAATGCTGCTACGTGGGTCACAGGAGCGAGGTGGCATTTGCTCACAGCTGAGGGGATGGGCCTGGGGAGGCTGCACAAGGGGCTAGTCACGGTGAGGCTGCAGGTCCCCCGGAGGCCAGCACTTCATAGACGAGGGCCGACTGCAGCCCACCTTAGGAAGATTCCGGGTGGTCTCTCCAGGAAGAGAGAGAGGTGTTTTGCTTTGGGGACTAGCCAGTTACCTCCCGCTGATTTTAACAAAAATACAAGAATAGCAACAGATGATGTTATTGGTCATGTTAGGTGAAGAGACTCCCTCTATGTGAAAGGAAACCACACCAACCAGAGGTGCCAGCGACACGGCTGGCCACACTGTGTGCAGCCCGTCAGGGCCAGCACTGTTCGTTGACATCCCAACCGTCTCGCCCTCTTCCTGGAACATCTCATCGCTAGTGAGGCCTGGGCCAGAATCACAAACTCTGAAAGTGCCATTTCTTATCTTGGGGTCCTGTGTTTTTTGTTCTTCCACACCTGGGCCTCCCTTCGCATGAATCATTTGAAAGCAGCGACTTTCTCCAGCCCCTGGGGCTTTTGTTCTGGCCTCGCTACTTACGCAACCAGAGTGAATTTTCATCGACATTGGGAAAACCATCCCTGAATTCCACTGAAGATTTGGGGAGGGTTGGGGGAAGTTCAATGCTAGGGTATGGTATTATTTCACATGGACTCCTTGATACACATTGGCATATCCTTCTGTGATTTTCTACCCATAGACTTATTATCGTGTAGGTATTAGGATCCCAGATTTTGCCTCTTGTGTATTTTGTTGGAATATATGGATTCACAGTTCCTTCTAAACACTGCAGACCTCTCAGATGAAGGTTATGAAATACATACAAAATGTATTAACTCGTTCTTACTGCACAAAGATTGTGCAGCATTTGACTCCCTGGCCTTTGTCCCACCTTCTCAGAGATGTGCGTGGTGTCCCCACCAGGGGACCAGGCTGCTACGGACTCAGCTGTCCACCTGTAGCTACTTCGGACAATGGGCTCCCTCAGCCCACCTGCTTTTCTCTGCCTGTGCCTTGTGGTTTTAAAGACAGGAGGCCAGATGGGGCAGTGGTTTATTTATTTTTAAAGATTTTAATTATTCATTTGACAGAGACACAGCGAGAGAGGGAACACAAGCAGCGGGAGTGGGAGAGGGAGAAGCAGGCTTCCCGCTGAGCAGGGAGCCCGATGCGGGGCTCGATCCCAGGACCCTGGGACCGTGACCTGAGCCGAAGGTAGACGCTCAACGACTGAGCTACCCAGGCGCCCCGGGGCAGTGATTTAGAATGAGCTTAGAAGCCGCAGCAGCACGTCTCAGTCGCTCTATCTGTGACCTTGGTGCACCCTCTGCAAGCCCCCCATTTGTTTATCTGTAAAGTGGGGTGCTGTCAGTGCTGACCTCACGGGCAGTACACGCGACGTGCCTGCTGAACTTGGCCGTTGTCACCGTTGTGGCTGTCACAGGTGTGAAACGCAAGTCAGTAATTGTGAGAAATGTACCTGGGCACCGTCACTGCGGGCAGAATCCTTACAGTTATCTCTGAGTGGTTTACTGAGCCAAGACGGGGCCTTGCCTGTGTCTCTCCATGGCATTGTGTTATCACCGTGTGCCCTTTACTGCCTCTCAGTGAAGGAGAAAGAGACATTCCTTCCAGAAGGTGTGTCTGCTGTGTTCATGTGGGGTCCTCCTTTCCCTCAGGGCGGCGTCTCACCTGGTGTGCACCTGATGACCTGTAGAACTCTGGGGGACTTGGCCATGTCTGAGCTACAAGGTGCCATGACTGCCCCACTTCATCCACAAGCTGCCTCCCCTGAGAACCTAGAACTCCCAGAGCCCCCCGATCCAGCAGGTCTACCCTGGTGAAAGGATGTGCTTTCCCCAGGATCTCTGCCTGGCTGGTGCGTTGTGTAAGAGACCTGGCCACTGAGGCATGTCCTAAACCTCTGGGCCGCGCTTCCAGCTCAGGTGGTCGTTTAGTCTCTGGGACAGTAATCCAGATGTCCCTGCCTGTGGACAGCCGTGTGTAAGGTGATCTACAGTGGCTCAGGAGCCATTTGCCTGCATCCCTTAGCTCTGGCAGGAGTACATTGATGGTGGCTAAAGTCCCCAGCAGCTAGCTTCCGGCAGCTCCCCTACAGCGCAGTCAGTTCCCAGGGCTGCAAGGTGTCGGGTGAGTCACGACAGAGCAGCGAAGCATCCTCTCAGGAGCCTGGCTGCCTGCTAGACCCACGTGAGCACCTGGAAAGCAGCAGCAGAATGGAGCCCTCTGCTCGGGGAAGGCGAAGGCCCTGGGCTTTACTGGACACACACAGCCCCACTGGGCTGAGCCTCCGGACGGCCAAGACCCATACCTCTTCTATTACTTTCTGCTGAGCTAGAATGAGGCAGAGGGAAGGTGAAATACTTATTTTAAGAATGTCCTGGAGACATGGTCAGGCAGCGGGGTGTGGCTGCAGCCCCAGAGAGACCCAGGGCACCCACGAGACTGCTCCTTGCTGCCAGAGCCACAGATCAAAGGTCTGCTTCCCAGCCCCCTTGCTCCCCACGGTAACTGTGGAAAAGGTACCATCACTGATTACAAAGGAGAGCAGTGTGACACCATTGACCAAAACCTGGATGCCTGCCTTTCTGAATTATTTTCTCCTTGCTAAGGAAATGGGATCCTGCCCGGGTTATTCTTTTGTATATAGACTCAAAGAAACAACTTTGTAGCATCCACAGCTGTTTGGGAAGATTGTTCCCAGATGGTCACCATGCCCTTTTGATTTACTTGCTGAGAATGACAGATGCCGTGAGAAAAAGGATTTGGGAAAAGGACTTCTGTGAGGAACAGCCGTTATGGGACGTTGACACTTGCTTTCCGATCCCATATATTAGCGTTGTCTGGAAATGACAGCCAAATGTGATCTGACACCTAACCCACAACTGGGCCAGCAAGTTAGAAAGGCTGATAACTTCTATAAAGATTCACTATATTTGACCCAGTACTTGAACTTCTAGGAATCTGTTCTAGAGAAATACTTACAAATTTAGATAGAGATTCATGTGTATCCAGTATAATGTAGTGCCTTAAAGTGTTGCAACCCTGTAATTTAAGTGCATATGGTCTTTTTAAAGAGTATTTAATGGCATGAGAAAATGTTTATGGTGTAATAGATATTAAGTGGAAAAAACAGTATAAATTTATATACGTTTGGTATATCATTTTGTATTCATTATGCTAAAACGTGCATAGAAAAGAGATGGAGGGGCGCCTGGGTGGCTCAGTCGGTTAAGCATCGCCTCTTTCTTTGGGCTCAGGTCATGACCGCAGGGTCGTGGGATCGACCCCTCCCTTTGGGCTCTATGGTGGAGCCTTCTTGGGATTCTCTGTCTCCCTGTCCCTCTACCCCCTCCCCCCCCAAAAAAGAAAAAAAAAAGGTGGAAGTGTATCCGAATATTAACAGTAGTTATCTCTCTGCAAGCTGGGAATTCAGATTTCTTTTCATTGTTTTCCTTTTTTTTTTTTTAAATTTTATTTATTTATTTGCGAGAGAGAATGAGATAGAGAGAACATGAGGGGGGGGAGGGTCAGAGGGAAAAGCAGACTCCCTGCTGAGCAGGGAGCCCAATGTGGGACTCGATCCCAGGACTCCAGGATCATGACCTGAGCCGAAGGCAGTCGCTTAACCAACTGAGCCACCCAGGCGCCCTCTTTTCATTGTTTTCTAAATTTCCCACAGAAACTATACACTTTTATAGTCCACACCATTCAGTAGAGAAAACAGGACATTTGAGACCATTTTCCAAGGGCAGCCTTCTGCCCAGGTGTGTTTGCCTCCAGTTCCACAAGGAGCCTCCATTCTCTGCACACTCCTAAGTGGTAAAAACGAGAATCCAAGATGCGTGATGGTTAAAAGTGTGCCAGTTCCTAGAAGTCATGTGCTTGTGCATGGCGGTGACACTGGACCGTCCAAGCTGCTTGTGCAAAGCACATGCCTGTGTGTGAGGTGGGCCGCGTGGGCCGCTCGTCCCCATGTGGCAGACACTTGGGTGTGGAACTGAGCCTGGAGCTGCCAGGCATGAACTCGGCCCACACTCAGCTCTGAACTGGCCCAGCCGGAGGGGACCTCACTGCTCTTGTGGGCCTGTCTGTTACGCTGCCCCTCCCCCTGAAGAGCATAGGATAGGCAGGAGCTGTGGTTTGCAGATGGAAGCTGGCATCTTGTTGTGGCAAAGGTTTTGAGGCAATCGTGTATACCAGAAAATAAATAGTTTTTCTTAGTGACTTCCATGGCCACTCCCAATAGCACCGTCTGCTTGATTGTTGGCATGGTCTGAAGCAGTGATGGTGTGTGGTCGTTGCCCTGCTGGTCCTTCAGCACGCACAGTAAAAGCATAATTATAAAGGACTAACGCTATGGGGGCTATTTTATTAGTAAGTGACACTTTTGATCAGCTATGTGCAAAAAGATGTCTTAAATGAGCCCTGTTATCTTTAAGAGACACTGTAATTGGAAAGCAAACGAATCCTGCAAGACATGAATGACATCTGGAAGACCGTGCATTCACTGACTCTCGGTGTATCCTTGCATGCTTACTCTATCGAATGATTTCGCCTTGGTCATTGGGAAGTGCCGTATCTAAAAGTATTTTCGATCAGGGAATGATACACATTAGTCTCATGCAAGACAACTAATAATTTCTGTAGAAGTTGTGTTTCACATTAGAAACACTGACGGTGTTCCTGTTTGTTTGCCAGCAGCTGCCCAAACATGTCCTGGCATTGTAGAATGAGAGGGATTCTAAAGACCATCCCTCCCAGTCTCTGTTTCTTCTGGTCAATTAAAGTGAGAGCCAGGAAAAGCAATGAAGCCAGTGGGTAGTGGAGGCAAGATCAGAACTGGGGTCTCTTCCTGGGTTGGCTACAGGTGTCTTGAGATTGAGATTTCTGATCTGTATTGGGTTTAGCATGTATTTCAAGGGGATAGGATTTTTCATTTAATCTTTACAGAGAATGTATATTTATAAATGACATCTGTAAACATCAGAGAAGAGTGGTTGTAGCGCATAAAAAGAAAATCAAATTTGCTCTATGCTATTTAATGGAATGGTTAGAGAAAAGCAGAAATATTTTTTTATGTTTGATTAACGGGCAAAATCTTTCATTTCACATGGCACACTTACAGAACATAACAAATGTTCCTAATTGCTAGCCAGGAAAAACAGCATAGCCCTGCCGCGAACTGTCCTGAGTGTGAAGCCAGCCTGTCCAGTTGGTGCACAGAGGCCTCTGTGTGGCTGAGGGACCGCCATCAGCCCAAGCCACTCCGCAAAGAGCACAGAAATGGCAAGCAGCTGAGAAAGTGGCAAAAGCCACCTTGTAGACAGGGAGATTTTTCCATTTAGAACTTGAGGGTGCAGAAGCATGAGTTGACATTAAGCTTTGTCATTCCTTACCCAGAAAACATCCTGCTCTTGAGATGAGCAGTTTTACGTAAAAGTGACGCATTTGGCCATTTCCATTTCTAAAGATCCGTGTGTGTGTGTGTCAGTGTGATGGTGCTGTAGGCTGGTTCATAATCTGTGCATGGTTAAAACATTCTTGTTATTCAGCTGATTATAGTTTGTCCATGTGCCAGCTCAGGATAAAGTAGCTCCCTGTGATGTGCAGAGAAGGATGTATTTTTGCTTCACATGACATGTTTTAAGTGGATTTTAAAGTGTGGAGCCTTGCCCTGTGGACTGGGTTTCCTGAGAACACTTGCTTTGGCCTGAGGGCACCCTGTGGTTCCACCAGGCAGAAGCACATGGGAGTTTTAGTACTTGGGGCGGTCACCCAGCCAAGACAGCTCCGAGCGGGTGCTGGAGGAAGTGTGGTGTTTACCAGGGTGTTTGTCCTCACTGCTCTTGTCTACTGCTGTCACAGGGGAATGACATTCAGTTCTTCCATAAAAGAATGTAGTCACATGGTTCCTCTGATTGTAATTACAATTTTAAATCTGATCGTCCTTTCTAAATACTAGATGTAGTAACTTAAGATATCCTTAGGAGTCTAATTATGACCATTTTAGGGGCACCTGGGTGGCTTAGTCAGTTAAGCATCCCACTCTAAACTGGGCTCAGTTTAGGTTGTGATCTCAGGGTTGTGAGTTTGAGCCCCGAGTTGGGCTCCATGCTGGGCATGGAGCCTACTTAAAAAAAATAATAATCTAATTATGACCAGTTTAAATCTGTTTTGAAATACTCTGGAAGGACACAAGAATCTGAACTCTTTAAGAAGGTGGACTGGGGGTGTGGGAAGGAGTTGGTTGGCTGGACTTAGATCATCTTCAGGATTCTTTGGTACCAGAGCCTCTTAGGGTATTGGCCCATGAGCTTAGTCATCTTTGGATGAATCAGTTCAGAAGAATTGCAGAGGGTCACATGGAAGAAAACTTCCTTTTGATTAGGAAAGAGTAGCTACATCGCCTACATATCTCCAGGGCACAGACATGGTTTTTGTTTGTTTCTCTGCGTCTCAATAATGGGAAACATTAGAAGGAGCAGGTCTTTCTTTAAGAAGTCTATGGCAGCCAAGCATCTGTGTGCTACTCTGAAGACCCCAGTAGACGAGTGCCACCTGCAGAGGCTTCTGATGTGGCCGTGCCGGGGAGCAAGGGCACTGTCCATTTGGAGAGGGCTCTGACCCAGTGGAAAGGCTGTGCCAAGGTGGAGAGTATTGGTCCACTTAGTGCTAGGAGAGAGAACCAGGTACTAAGTTAATGAGGGGGGCGCCTGGGTGGCTCAGTCGTTAAGCATCTGCCTTCGGCTCAGGTCATGGTCCCAGGGTCCTGGGATCGAGCCCCGCATCGGGCTCCCTGCTCGGCGGGAAGCCTGCTTCTCCCTCTCCCACTCCCCCTGCTTGTGTTCCCTCTCTCGCTGTGTCTCTCTCTGTCAAATAAAAAAAAAAAAAAAATCTTTAAATTAATGAGGATCAGGAGCCTTAAAGTTTGTGAGAAGGTACTCGAATCGACTGTTCTTAGGTGTTTGAGTTTCTTTGAATCTTCCTCTGAATCACTGATCCAACATTGTTACTAGTTGAGCTATTTATTTTTAGAGGAAAGTTTTACCTGTCTAACTCGTATGCTGATCTTTATTCTGATTTACCCATGTTTGTGGGAAGTCCCATGTTTGGACCATTGCCTGCCTTTTGGTAATTGGCCGTTTTCAGGCTTTGTGCCCTAAAGAAGGACAGATAGCATCTCTAAAGAATGAGGATCGCTAAGAAGGACTAAAACTGTGTTTCTGTATCTTTTCTGCCGTGTGATTCCTCAAGTGACAGAAGACCGGTTCTGCCCTGGGCTGCATTGTCCAGGTTCAGCCTAACCCACAGGGCCGCACTATGTGCGGCGGCCACACCGGGCTGGGACCATCAGCCTCCACACTGCAAGCTGGATGGATCGAGGCAGCCCTGTGCATGCAGGCCCCGCTTGTCAATGCCAGTTCTCAAGGACCGGAAACCACCTCACATACTGGGGTTCTTCTACTGCCTCCTTTGTTGTGCAGGTTCCCAAAAAGCCAAACATGTCCTTTGTATAGGAATCCTGTCCATTGAGACTTAATGTTTTATATAGTGTTACCTTGCAGCTTGGTGACGTGTTGCTAGAAATTGTTTTCAAAAGTAGTGCTCTATTTCAGATTTGCCTTGTTTCTGCATTTTCAGTGACCTTGAAAGGTTTGGTCCCTGAGAAATGCACCTCCAGTGAAGATGGGGAGAAGGAGGCGGCCAGGTGGCCCTGTTAAAGATCCCATCCCACCCAAAGGCATAAGTCGGAAGACGGGGGCAGGCAGAAAGGCAGAAACCCCAGTTATTCTGGAGGTCACCAGGGGCATTGCCTTCTTCCAGTAACCTTACTTACTGCTGTCCCTTCTGCATAGGAGGCCTTTGGTTTTCTGCTTCCTGGGCCTCTAGGAGCATAGAGAAACCATTCCCTTCCTGCCAGCTGCCGTGGCACGTCAGGCACAGTCCAGAGGCAACAACCCAGGGTGGCTGTGGGGACCCCATACTCACTTGAGCTGGGGCAGCATGGGGGCTGGGTCACAGTAACTGATTAAGACAGAGGGGTCCTGCTTCTCACAGGGCCAGGTGGGACCACTGGCGCAGCTCGGCAGAGAGACTCCTTAACCGAGTAGAGGCAGAGGCCCCTGTGCGACTCTAATTTCTCTTCCCTTCTGACCAAGTTTGGACACCTGGAGAGTAGCTGGAACTGCTTTGCTTTTTCAGATCAGCCGAGAGGTGATGGGGAAAATCCCAATACTCAGAAGCCTTCGTTACCGAGAGAGGCAGGCTGGGAAAGATGTCTCCCTTCAGGATGAGCCCCGGCACCTTCTGGGAACTGGCAGCCAGCAGCCACCTCCCCTGAGCACTGTCAGAAGACCCGGGGACCCACACCAGCCCGAATGCTGTTCGGGGCAGGGGGACGATGGGCCTTCTAACACTGTTTACATTGGGAACCTTCCCCGGGACGCCCAAGTGAGTGAGCTGAAGAGAGCCCTCCGAGAACTGGGTGCAGTCCCTCAGAGGCTCACGTGGCAGGGGCCACAGCGCAGGGCCTTCCTCCACTACGAGGCCCCCACCTCAGCCCAGCAGGCTGTCTCCTGCTTGCAGGGCTTGCGCCTGGGTGCTACCACCTTGAAGGTGGCACTGGCCAGGCAGCAGAAGGCCGGCGATGAGACAGGCAGCTGTGCAGACGAGCAGTACCCTGTCACTCGGCTGTCTCAGACCTGTGAGGATGTGTGCCGCTCTGGTCCCCGTGGAACTTAAGGGGCCTGCCCTCGGGACTCGGCAGAGTGTTGCTGCATGAGCTGCTTTGGGCACCCAGTGCTTTCCAGGATGTCCCAGCCTTCTGTCACTGCCTGCGACCTCCTGATGAGTAGGAAGCTGGTCATGAGTGCACTGTCAGCACGTCCAGGCCCTGCCCTGTCTGGGTCCTTCAGCCTGCCTGCTGGGCATTGTAGCCGTGCTGGCTTCTCTGTGGTAGTTCAAAGGCTGTGGGGAACCGAGTGGGTGATGAGCAAGTGGCAGTAAACGGTGACAGCGGTTGGGAGCGCCTGTGCTCTGGAATTGGGAGGTGGGGGGTTAGTGGGGAGAGGCCCTAGCAGGAATCAGATGCCAAGCACAGCCTGCTGTCCTTGGATCCTTGGTCTGGTCCGACTGCAGAGGGAGAGCTATATTCACATCGCAGAAGCCAAGTCCCCTGGCTGCAGACTGCTTGTCACAGCGCAGTGCTAGTGTCCGCGATGGAGGGCCAATCTGATGTGTGGGTGGCACGCATCTCACTTCTGTGCCTTCCTTGCTCTTCCAGCCTCCCCCCGTCTCTGGGTGAACACCCTGCACTCCTCGCTGTCTTGTAGGAGGTACTGGTCTTGGAGAAGGCGGTCCCAGCCTACGTCACAGACAGTGACAGAGGTGCTCACACAGATTTGCCCAATGCCTGATGTTTCTTGGGTTTTTCCTCCATTTCTCTGTACCTAAAAAACAAAACTGGATTTTGGCTGAACTATGCTTTCTAAACAGAAGTGCTTTTGCAGTGGATCCTGGGCAAAAAGTCAAAGTAAGCACTTAAGTGGAGATTCTATTTTCTTTTTAATGTATGTGTGTTCAAAATTTTAATTTTTTCACCACAGCGTCTTACTGAGCATGTTTTAAGCACACGGTCGTACTTCAGGAGGGTATGCCTTGCATGTACTTTGAATAAAACCTTGAGGCACTATCTCCCTTTGCAAAAGCATTTTATCCTTGGTTTTATAATGAAAATACTGTGGAGATGTCAGAAAGTCAGTCTGCCCTCAGATTGCTCATTAAGTGCAGGCTCCTTTCCCCAGGCGTCATGAATATAACGAAGGGCAGAAATATCTGAAAAAGAGTCCAGCTCCTCTCCTTTGGGCTTCTTGGGCCCACTCTTCTCCGCCTGAACCATCTACCCCATCCACGTGGCTGGTTCCATTTTGTCACCCAGCGCTCAGCTGACACATCAGAGGCCGAATCTGGTCATCTAACTCCTTACATTTTGGTTTTGTTTTTTTTTTTTCGGGGCAGCGGTGCCTTGTTGTTTTTCTTGTTCTCTTTTTTTTTTCATAATTTTTTCCTGTATTTGATATATTCTTGTTTAGTCGTTGTTGACTTTTTTTATCATTGATCTTTTATTATTAGAGTAGTACTCCAGGAGATCAGGAAATGAGTTTGTGGTTGTCTTGTTCACCCTGCCCTGCGCCCCAGCTGCGAGGGCACCTGGCAGATACACAGCAGCCCAGGAAAAACGGGAGACGTGGATGGATGCATCAGAGCCAAGAGAGGGAGGAGCGCGCCTGATCACAGCACTGGGAGCGTGTCCTGTGCCCGACACCAGCCTGCCTGGGGCTGTTGAGTCATCCCTCCCAGTTGGGCCAGCTTGCTTGGCTTTGCTGTCCATTACAGCAGGAATCCTCCAGATATGTTGATAAACAGATGATCTGAATGAATTCATCATTTTTATATTTGTGGGAAATAGTTTAGTATAAGCAAAACCCAAGATCCAAGTGCCTGAAATGTAAGTATCCCAAACGTACCAGCCTGCACACCTTTTCTCCTTCTTCTCCTGTAGCGGACAGCCTGGGAGTGACAGTCTCTCCGGGCCTCACAGGACGAGTGCTCACAGTATAAGGCAGGTGCTCGGTGACCTGGCTTTTTGTTCCCAAGACTTGGGTATCAGTGATGGTGGCGATGGCCCTGGAGCCACTTCCCAGGTGATGGAGTGTCATGGGTGCTGAGATCAGTGGAAGTGGGCAGGGGAGGCAGCAGCACTGAGCCTGCTGAAGAGCATGTTTGTGAGGGGTTTCTGTTGGGCACACCATCTAGAAAAGCCCGGGAGAAGAGCCATTTCTGCCTCAGGGGAGCCCCTGGCCCTGGCATATGGGCTTATCCTGGGACAGAGGAAGGCACGCACAACCTATGTTTTCCGGCCTGAGAACCCATGGTCGGGCCCCTCCCCAGTCCCCAGATGACTAGATCGTTGAGCTGGGAGCAGTTTGTCCTATTTGAGATCGGAAAGTCTATGACCACACAGTGAGAAAGCAGAACCTGAGGAGAAACCATTCAGCCAGTTTCTGGAAAACAAACAATCCACATACTGGTGAGTAAACAGAAAGCAGAACAATACAGGGCCTGTGAAAGACTGTCTCAGTATAGAGGGACCTGATACTTGAGATGTGAAGGACAAGCATGTATGAAAAAGATTTCGTGAAACAAGCAAGTTCCAGGCCGCATCTGCTCTGTACTCCTGAAAATGTTCAGAAACTAGTTTCCATGTTTCTATGAAAAGGTTGAGTAAATTTTTGTCCTTTTCTGCCCGGATCTCAAATGGGATAGGTAAAGGTATTTTTTAAATGTACAAATACATGGTATAATACTGAAATTCGTACTAGAAGATGTGACGTAGAGAAGAGAGAAGGAAGTCCTCCAGCAGGAAGACTAGAGAACGAGAAGCGAGGCCCTGGCCAGCCGCTCGAGGCAGCTCGGAGCCCAGTCTGCGGTAAGCTGCGTGTGCCCTCTTGAGGAGGGGCGCCTCTGCAGACAGGAGCACGTGCAGAGTCCCCAGTCATCTGAGGACAGGCGGCATCTCGAAACAGTATCCAACTCTTGTAGAAATACCAGTACGGGAATCAGAAGGTGACTCAAAGGCCATCTTACCTGTTAAAAAGAGAATAAACTGGTAAGGAAAACACTGTTTTTAGAAATGAAACACATCATAAACTTAGTCCAGCTGAAGACAAAACAGATGCACATACAGTGAGCTGGAAGATGAAGGCACATGATTCTTCCTGACATCATTGCAAAGGGAACAGAGAAGTATGAAACCGTAGAGGAGATAATCAAATTAAAACTTTGTTTAGCTAAAGAAATATTTGACTTTGTGTTGAAAAAGTCTTCAAAGTCCAAACCAACGGAAGCATATAAATCCGTGGCATTCCCCAACAGTGTCAGTGACTTAATGAAAACTTTTTAATGCAGTAGCAACAAGAACTATTAAGTATTTGGGAATACACCTAATGAGCTGTCCGGGACGCGAATGGATAAAATTATAAAACTTTACTGAAAAAGATGGAAAGATCTGAATAAAAGGGCATGCTGTATTCTAGCTGGAGGAGTTCAGTATTCTGGTAGTTCTCCCTGTAGTTAGACATTGTACCCCTGACAGGTACTTTCATGGAGCTCGTGTGGGTGGGCAGTGATGAATGGTCAGGAGCGAGGGAAGGGGCTGTGTCCTTGGATGCCAGAACCTAAAGCAGCCTGGTATCCATGAGTCCTTGCAGCAGTGAGGCAGAACGGAAAGTTCTGAAGCATGTGGGAATCTGGAACAAAAGAGGAATTGCGGAGGAAGGAAGGATTCGTGGAAGATGGAATGAGACCTACCGGCTGCTCTTTCAAAAGGTGCCTACAGCAGCTCAGATTTCTAAATCCTATTGCATATAAAAGTAAATTTCAGGCTAGTCGGATATGTAAACATGAAATATGAAAGAATTTGGGGATAATACCAGAGAATGTATTATCCCATCTATAGTGTCAGGATAGGGAAGAGCATCATAAAAAAACAAAACAAAAAAACCAACTCTGAATTTAAGGAGGAATTTATTCCTTTGCTCCCCCTTGGAATATCAGATTTGGGTTGGGACGGAATCCCGAGGAACCTCCACAGTGAGCTCTCTGAAGAATACTCCAATTAGCAAGAGTAACCAGTGCGTTTTATGCAGTTATGTAGTTAGTATTTTTTTTTAATGCTGCCAAATGCAACAAGTAGCCTCTTAAACATTAGCTTCTATGAAAATCTGGCCCACCAGCCCAGCTGCCCCCGGGACCATGGGTCGGCCCTCCCGCTTGAGCCTCAGTAGTTCTCTTCCAGTGGCCCTGTGCGTCACCCCAGACACCACATAAGGGGAAGGGAATTCGTGCCAGCACAGGGCTGCAGGTAAGAATGCTGGGAACACATGTGCCCGAGGAGCCAGTGCAGCTGAAGCCACAAAAGACTGGCGTTGGCGACAGGATGCTGGAGAGGGTGAGGCTGGCGTGGGCGACAGGATGCTGGAGAGGGTGAGACGGCAGGGGAGAAGAGCAGAGCGAAGCAGCAACCAGGTCTCAGGGTTGTAAACCTGAGGCCTGCGTGCCACCCCTTCTGCTCCTGCCCCACAGTGGACCTCGGCCATCAGGAGGCCTTCCCGCTGCACTTGAGGAACCAAGGTCAGATGGTCTTACTGTGCATGAGATGATGGAACTTTCTGCCTTTTTGCTGAAGGGGCAAGTAATGAGGATTCCTTCCCTTCGCCCCCTCTCATCTTCCTGGGGAGCATTGCCCCGTATTCTCTGCCCTACCCCAGAGCCCCCAGGAAGCACCTGGCTTGCAGAGGTCTGTGTTTCCAAAATGGCTGTTCTGGGTCTACATCCCCTGTCCCGCCGCCTGCAGAAATAAATGGGGGTTGCTAAACTTCCCCTTTATCCAGGTTGAATCCAGCCAGTGTTCCAAATAGGACAGATACTCCTGACACTTAAGGACCATGGACTCGAGTCATTTTCAAAAACAAATTTTGAAGTGGGGCGGGGGGTGTCCCAGGGAAGCCTTCAAAATAAATCTTACGCAGAACCTAATGCATAAAAGCAGGAGGAAGAGGCTGTTGTGTAGGTGAACTCATAATCCCTTCCCAGCGTTGTTCTTTACTGGGTGCAGCCCTCCTGACCACCCCTCCCCAGCTGCTGGGGGGTGGGGGGGAGTAGCGTCCTCAGCTACACTGGCTTGTGTTGTCCGCGGACCCTTGCCTCCTGATAACAGCTCAGATTGACTGAGTTGTTTTATTTTTATTTTTAAAAAGTAATCCCTGCACCCAAATTGGGGTGTGAATTCACAACCCTGAGATCGAGAGTCCAGTGCCCCCTATTGAGCTGTTTTAAATGCTGTGGAAGTTGTAAAATGGGGCCTCAAAGTTTTTTGGACATACCTTCTGTGGAGAGCAGGGGTCTGTGCCCACCCCCTTGACTCTGGGCTCTGGGACAGCCTGGTTAAGGTTAAGTGGCACTGGTGGCTTGTAGGAAGAAGCTAGGACACTGGCCACTGCGGCCTCTTCTTAGGACACTGGTTTGAGGAGCCCAGCCACCACAGTGTGAGGAAGCCCATGCTGCCCAGGGCCAGGCCCAGGCGGAGAGGGACTGACGTCACCGCCTTACCAGCTTGTGGGTGTACCGCCTTGGACGTGGGTCCTCCAGCCCCACTCAGGCCGTCTCAGAGGAGGCCCCCTGGGGCAGAGAGGGGCTCTTTCCACAGAGCCCTGCCCAGGCTGTAGTCAGGAGTGAAATGGATGATTTTTGCTGCTGTAAATTTGGAGGGTGGTTTTTCATTAATCAGATGCATAATTGTGTTTATATTGTGATATATAAACTATATGTGTTTATATATATTAATGAAGATAAAATCTAGAATCACAAATTATATACATAGATAAGCCAATGTGTAATTTCACCTAATCCTCAGTCCCTTTTGGGGGACATCCGTATTCACAGAAGTGATACAAGGTACAGAGAGAGGAATCCACTGCCCTTAGCCCCCAGCTGGCCAGTACTGAGGCTGAGTCAGATTGTCGCGGATCACAGACTAGGCCAGAGCCGTCTGTGTGCCTTCTGTGCCTGCGGATTGTCTTCACCTTGTCCCCTGAAGTGGAGAGAGGCAGACAACACCAGAGGCGTTTTCTA